CGTGAGTTGTCTGGTATTGTGAGTTGTCTGTGGGATTGTGAGTAGTCTGTGGTGCTGTATTGTTAGTTTAAAACACGATCAGGTCTCATGTGGATAGTATTTACCACGGTCGGACGATTCCACAGTTAAAACAAATCCAGATGGCATTCATACGAGATATGAATGTCACGGCCCTATCCTTAACGTTTGTCATTATGATTATTATGTCGTAAACGTAACTTGAACACCACTGACCTTCCGTGGAAGATGAAAGTTTTATTAATTAAGCAAATTTAACCCGTCACATAAACTGACTGAACTAAATGTTTACTTTTGGTAAATTAACTTATCTTATATATTGTAAATAGAGCTCTCGTCATGTTGAAATTTGTCGTTTTGTTGACATTGAGGACTATGAATGCCAACTGAAATCAGTTTTTAATAAGGTCCTTATTAACTAACACTTCGACATTGGAGGTCATACCTATACAGAGGGTTGTGCACCAGTCTGTATCCCCGTGTTCGTCGTGCAGCGTGATTTTGGTGTTTGTATGATCGATCATCAATCCAATCGTCACACTCTGTATCTATTCCCTTTACCCAGGGATACGGTTTATTAAACGTTTTGATCAAAAGAAGTCAGAAATGGGACCATCTTTTTTGTTTGTCTGCGAGAAACATCCGTTTTTGTGTCGCTAAATCGGACATGATGTTCTAGTAAAGTCGTGACGACTAAAGCACTGCGTATGACGCCAAATTAATCAAAGCAGGTCAAAACTTTGAGTACGTATGAACTTAACTCGGCTGTTTCGTAATATGTAAAAACACATTTTTGCTCAAACCTCATTAAAGGTACATGTAGATCAAGCACTCGTCAAGCTCTTGTATTTTAAATCTCCAGTTAACCAACTTGAATTCCATCAAGTGTGATGACCAACCAGTGGTATCCTTTATCTCTCAGTAATTATGGATATGTTACATTGCAAAATGTTTGTATAACGTATCATTTTGACGTCACCATATGATGACACCCAATTCTTCTCCAGTCTCAAAACTCAAGGAGTAGTTTCGCCATTTCTGATAAAGTGCCGGTTTCCTGGTTCTGCTCGGGTTCAGGTTCAGGCTGATTTTTGTTCCGAAGATACTTCATGTAGCACTTCTGGCAAATAAGTGCTTGTTCCTTTGCTGACATCAATCCTTGTTGCACCAGCGTATCTAGGAGCCATTTATATTGTGGACTATTTACATTGCGTGCACTTCTGTTCTTATTGCCACTACGTTTCTTGAAGTATACTTGACACCCTTCTCCAACACATTTACCCTCCATCTTGAAACAATAACGATTGGTTTATGAAGCGTCGATAAAGTAACAAAATAGCAAGCCACCGATGATTGCTGTAAACAGCTAATACTTAGTAGTTTGGTACAATTATGCGAAAATGTGTGATAAATAACGAACAACTAATTACACAAAATAACAAGACAATATAATAAATCACATTCAATACCTCCAAGAAGCGCAGAATTGATTGATTACTTAGAACAAAATAAAGTATTTCATATGGATAATCTATCTATTCGATGTGGCGTGGTCGGCAGGCACAAAGAAAGTGAGACAAGTCAGGGTCCCAACCCTGACAGAGCCACAACGCTTTGGAGATGGGACAATAAAACAAGGAAAGTGAGACAAGAATAGCTAGCGTCGAGTCAATGATTCCGTAAACGTATAGACAAAGACAAGAAGATACGGATAAATGTACAAGGCCACACGATCAGAAAATTCAGAAGAGGACAACTTGAGATAGAACAGTATTCATGTATCAGGGTGTCCTCAGTGTAAATCTTTATATCGATACTGTTTATTTAGTCGTTACACATCATAAAACTGTCATGAAAATATCCGCTCTGATATTCAATATAAAAGTTTGTATATAATAAGCTATATAATAGGGTTTCAGACAAGGTTGTTACTCATTTCCCCTTTTCTTTCAATTTACAACCACATTCAGGCGGCGATATGAGAACGTTCCACCACATGGAATTAGCTGATTTTTGGTACACATATGAAACAAGTAAAGCTCTATCCGATTTTCTGATGGAAATTTGCATCCAAAACTATATAACGGGAGAAAATTGCAATTTTATGGCATTTTTCTTCATAATTGTGTCTCTGCAAGTGCATTTTCATCCGAGAATATTTTTTTTTATGTTTTATGAATAAACACGATGTTTTGGAAATATTTATCAAAAGAAATTTATACTATGTTGCGAATTACAATTTCGAGATAACCTTCTTTTATTTACGAACTTATGTCTTTGATGCTGAAATTGACAACTTTATAAAAATACATTTTCACTGAAATTATGAAATCTGGGTGTCGGAAAGGTGTAAAATTATTCTTCGGAAAAGAAAAAAACAGTAGTTGAGCTAGATAAGAAATTATACGGGGGCAGGCTCCTATGGAGAATTTACATTACTGGAAAGAGGCCCTTTACACGTTATCAACTCGAGTTATCTCCTCATAACCTGACCAGAATAGAACATCATTCCTTTTAGTGCAGTACTTATCTGTGAATGTTTCATAACCATTCTATTCATTAGTCAGATCAGGGGACACATGTTTCGCATAATAAACGTATTAACGTGTGATCGGCTCAATAGAAGTAACAGCCTGAAATTTGCATAACCTTAAGTCAACTAAGCCCACATCTACCGTTGATCACATAATTGTATTTCGTTCACGAAAAATGCACAGTTCCGCCCATTCGTACTGTTGTCAACGCCATATCAACTTGTCACATTCTACGTTCAGGTTTTGATATAACTCCGTTTTTGGGGAACAATGGTAGCTGAGTGAATGTCAGTGTAGACTGTAAATATTAGAAAATGTGTAATTGTATGTTATGGTATGTAATGGTATGTTATGGTATGTAATGGTATGTTATGGTATGTAATGGTATGTAATGGTATGTAATGTTATGATATGTAATGTTATGTAATGTTATGTTATGGTATGTAATGGTATGTTATGGTATGGTATGGTATGGTATGTAATGGTATGTAATGGTATGGTATGGTATGGTATGGTATGGTATGGTATGGTATGGTATGTTATGGTATGTTGTGGTATGTTATGGTATGTTATGGTATGGTATGTAATGGTATGTTATGGTATGTAATGTTATGTTATGGTATGGTATGATATGTAATGGTATGTTATGGTATGGTATGTAATGGTATGTAATGGTATGTTATGGTATGTAATGTTATGTTATGGAATGGTATGATATGTAATGGTATGTAATGGTATGCTATGTAATGTTATGTTATGGTATGTTGTGGTATGTTATTGTATGTAAAGGCATGGTATGTAATGGTATGTAATGGTATGTAATGTTATGTTATGTTGTGGTATGTTATTGTATGTAAAGGCATGGTATGTAATGGTATGTAATGGTATGTAATGTTATGTTATGGTATGTTATGGTATGTTATGGTATGTTATGGTATGTTATTGTATGTAAAGGCATGGTATGTAATGGTATGTAATGGTATGTAATGGTATGTAATGGTATGTAATGGTATGGTATGTAATGGCATGTAATGGTATGTAATGGTATGTAATGGTATGTTATGTAACGGTATGTAATGGTATGTAATGGTATGTTATGTAATGGTATGTAATGTTATGTAATGATATGTAATGTTATGTTATGGTATTTAATGGTATGGTATGTTATGGTATGTAATGGTATGTTATGGTATGTAATGGTATGGTATGTAATGGTATGTTATGGTATGCTATGTAATGGTATGTTATGCAATGGTATGTAATGGTATGGTATGTAATGGTATGTTATGGTATATAATGGGATGGTATGCAATGTTATGGTATGTAATGGGATGGTATGCAATGGTATGGTATGTAATGGTATGGTATGTAATGGTATGTAATGGTATTTTATGTAATGGTATGTTATGGTATGTAATGGGATGGTATGCAATGGTATGGTATGTAATGGTATGTAATGGTATGGTATGTTATGGTATGTTATGTAATGGTATGGTATGTAATGGTATGTTATGTTATGGTATGTAATGGTATGGTATGTAATGGTATGTTATGATATGTTATGGTATGTAATGTTATGGTATGTAATGGTATGTTATGGTATGTTTTGTAATGGTATGGTATGTAATGGTATGTTATGTAATGGTATGTAATGGTATGGTATGTAATGGTATGTTATGGTATGTAATGGGATGGTATGCAATGGTATGGTATGTCATGGTGTGTACTGGTATGCTATTGTACGATATGTTATGGTTGTGCATATGAAAAAATGTTATCCTCTCCATTTTGTCTGTTATATATATAATGGAACTCTTCTGAGGACGTCTATATACGTCTAACGTAAAAGAATATTTTTCGTGTTTCATCCTTTAACAGTGATCGACGACTTTGGATACAATAACATGTAACAGCTTTTTTTGGCAAACCCCTTAGTGGTGCAAAGCGCCGCAAGGGATTGATCTGTTAACACTGTGTCAACTTCCGGTGCTTCCTCATGCATGAAAGCCTTCTGAGAAATTGAGGCCGCATACTATCTGCAAAAATATGATAATAATCGGTGTTTATTACATTTTACTAATGAAATATCCAATTGATAAAAACATATCTTCAATGCAGTGAATTTATACGAAATATTATATTATATTACTATTGCCCAATCAAAACAGTACATTTTATTCACTGCGAAGATTTTCACTTTCAAGTTTAGATGAAGCGACGGCAGATTAAGTGGTTGTGTGGTTCCATCTTTGCAACATACATAACGGTTTATACATAAGTACATTATTTAGATATTTTTTGTTTTCGAAATCTTGCCATTTAAAAGCAGCAAACGGCAGAATTGCAGTAAGAAACCAATTAGCTCTTTCACGTTAACTGCGGGACAGTACGTCGCGCATGCGCACAAATGCCACTGAGTGGGTTCCTGGATATACGTAAACAACCATCATGGTGAAAACCTGCAGTGTAGACAAGTGTGCAAACCAGTTTGACCGGTCAAAGAAAATAAGTTTTTTTCGGTTCCCAAAAGATAAGCGGAAGCGGAAGACATGGATAAAAGCACTTAACAGGGATGGTTGGGTTCCTAACGAAAGTTCGTGGATATGTTCCGTGCATTTTATCGACGGCTGGCACGGATATGACCCTGCTGACGAGAATTACGCTCCGACAATTTTCAAATACAAGGTAAAAAATAAACAAATAAGGTTATTTAAAAGGTGGTAAATTTATTACAATCACTTATATTTTATATGACAAAAACACACAAAACATGTCAGTAAAATATTTAAGCAACAGCAACCATCAGACCACAGGGGTTCGTTACACACATAATGACATATGCTATACATGAATTATACTGAAATGGGTCACAGCACACATATATGTTTATGTGTGCTGTGACCCATGTCAGTATAGCATATGTGTATGTCAGACATTTGTAACGAACCCCTATGATCAGACCATTGGTATCGCAGCACATATGCATACACAATATACATAGATGTGATATTTATTCTTATAATTGTAGATGCATTATAAAGCAGTTGTATTATAACAGTTATAAGATTGCTTTGCATCCCTGCTGGTTGCAGTACAAATTCACCATGGCAGTTGATCTTTTCAAATTATCAAACCGTGTTAAAGCATATCTTACATAAGTTCAGGAAACACAAACATAATCTCTACATAAATAATACTATGCAACTACAAATATACGTACATGTTCAGGTTATACGTATAACATAACGTTAACTTAAGTAAATTTACTGAACTGTAGTTTATATGAAAACAAATTTTGCAAGTTTAAATTAAACATCACTTATTGAAAAAAATGAGAACTAAAATTCTGTCTTTATCAATGGTTGTTAAATTTTCAAATGAAAACTTTCAAATAAATTACAAAAAAATTCATTTTGAAAGGTGGTTAAACAATCAGACATCAACATATCAAGAGAGACAAGAAAGCTGGCTAGAGATGAATCCAAGGTATAATATCAACTCCACACCTACCCCTTTCTTTCCTCATGCATACCTATAACTATTTGTTACTGTTGTATATAAACAACACACCAGACTAAACTCAACATGATTATTAACAATTTCATTTTATTCCCCTATATTGCATCAACAAAATTGTTATATTACTGATCACATTATAAATTATGACCAAAATATCTTGGGGGGGGGGTTTGCATTCAAAGAAAACTTTTGATTGTCAAATTGTATGTCGAGTTGTGAAAACTACCGTTAACTGTCAAAAAGAATCATGGTAGTTAATTACATATGTCTGCAATTTATTTTTATATTTCCATAGCTTTGCAATGAGTTTTTGAAATATTTATTTTCCATAATATTTTTGTGTGTTCTTTTTATGTACAGGAAAGCCAATATTTGAAAACAAAACAAATACAGCTGGAGGAGGTAAAAAAGAAAGTGTCTTTAGCCATGCACAGAGGGTACTGTAAGCCTGTCCCAGAACCTGAAGCTGAGGCTGAGGTTCAAGAAGAGGATGACACAGATGTTAATGTTCTTGTTGACACTGGTAAAGTAATACATGTGTTTCCTGTTATTAACCCCTCCCCAGTTTTGATTATTTATTCAATGGTTTATGAACCTACTTTCCCAAACAGCCTCCATCTGGGTCTTTATATTATACATTCAAAGGTTTGATTCCTTTATTCTATCTATACTAACCAACATGAAGAAATTGTTTAGAAATAAAACACAACATACAGTATCACAATTTGTTTTTCAGTGCCTTGATGGGAAAAAAATGAAAATTGAAATTCTCCCTGATCCCCATAGGTGTCCAATGTGATGAAGACCCTCTTCTCTTGGAGAATAGGCGACTCCAGGAGGAAGTAAGATTACTAAAAGAGGAGGTACGCCAGCTCAAATGGGGAGTAGGCAAAATAAAGGACAATGACACACGGACCCGATTTTACACTGGTCTCCCAACATTTGCCGTTTTCTTGTGGCTGTACAAGTAAGTCAATATTAGGTTTTATGAAAGATGAATGATGAGTCCTTATTGTTGTCTTTCAAGAGCAAGAAACATCTATAAGTATATATACATGTATATATAATTAAATCATTATTGACAATAACCCTTTGGTTGAAATTGTTTTTAAATGAAACTGTAAAATTGACAAAAAGTACAGCACATTCAAAGTATCGGACACCATATACTGAATTCTATTTAAGTGATACCAAAATAATGAAATTGGTAATATCACTTAGGCATTGTATTCCACTTATTCAAATCATCTGGTTATGACAGTCATAGACCAATTTATTTGACATTAATGCTGATATCACTATAAGAATTATGTGACATCACTTTATTACAGTGTTATGTAACTCATGTCAGTTTCTGATATCACCAATTCATTTCCTTGATATCTCTTCATAGTGTTTATAGGTGATGTCAGCATAAAATGATATAATGAAGCACTAAGATAAACTGATGGTATCCTTTATCGTACCTGGCAACTTTATATATTAATCTATTGAGATTTACTGTAGATATGAGGGTCCTTTCAATTTGTTAATATCTCTAGCTGTCCTACCATCAAGGTAGAGAAAGACCCGACACAAGTTTAATGTGTGTAGGTGGGGAAAATGTATAATTTGATTTTAACTCGTTTCAGTTACTTATCATCCAAAAGCTCCCGTTTGACATATTGGAGGGGAGATGTCAACACTCCAACCAAGGACAGGATGAGGGTATCAGTCCCTATGATAACTACTATTGATCAACTGTTAGCTGTGCTGATGAGGCTGAGACTAGGTCTTTCTGTTCAGGATCTGGCTGACAGATTTAACATATCTTCAGCAACATTTTCTTCCTACTTTACTACATGGATAAGTTTGCTCCATGCTGAACTGAAATTTCTCAACCCCTTTCCAAGTCGAGATATTATAAAACGTACAATGCCATCATGTTTCAAAGAAAAATATCCTTCAACTAGAGTTATTCTAGATTGTACAGAAATTTACATTCAGAGATCTTGTAGCTTAGTTAATCAAAGTCTCACATTCTCAAATTACAAACACCACAACACCCTGAAGTTTCTTGTAGGTATTAGTCCTTCTGGTGTCATAACATTTATATCAGAAGCCTGGGGAGGCAGAGTTTCAGACCGTAAATTAACAGAGGACTCTGGTATTCTGGATCTTTTGGAGCCCTTCGACAGTGTTATGGCAGACAAAGGATTTACTATAGGGGACCTGTTAGAAAAACGCCAGTGTTATCTAAATATTCCACCATTTCGAGGAAACTCTAACCAGTTTTCTACAACAGAGGTTTTTCAGACTCAGGAAATAGCACAGCTTAGAATACATGTTGAAAGAAGTATTGGCCGTGTCAAGAATTTTCATATATTGGAAGGAGTGCTACCCCTTTCTCTTGCCCCACTAGCTTCAAAAATTGTTCAAGTCTGTTGCTGGCTTACAAACTTTGATACCCCTCTTGTAGAAGATAAATGTTAACAGTTTGTACAGTTTATGAACTTGTGCCACACTATTCTTAAAATTATAAATATGCACTTGGGGTCTTTTTGTCTCCAATAAAATGACATTTTGAAACATGACCAATACTTCATTGAACAGAAACTTACAGCTGATACACCTTAACTTCTTTCAGTCACTGGTTCCATATAGAAATATGGTAAAGGTTCTAGTTATAATGGAACGTAAAAGGAGTGGAAAAAAGCACGACCAGACATGGGTTCGAACCTGGGACCCTTCAAGCTCTAGGCGGATGCTCTACCAATTGAGCTACAATGTATTTATAATTTGGTCGCTGACGATCGACCCAGTCCAGTTCCACTACAATAAATTAGAATGTATACTTTTAATAATGAGAATCAAGTTCCACACCTCCAGAGGTAGGTCCAATTTTCAGGTAATTGCTGCTTTACGCATAATACAAAGGATATATGTGATCTATGAAAATTTTTACAAGTTTTGGCATCATATCACTTACAAAGTCAGCATCAAAGTAAACTCTGTCAATGGCAATGTTATTTGATGATGCCCCTGTCCAAACAACAAAATCACACCAAGGTAAGCCCTTAATGGCCATTTCACCCTGCACCTGAGCATAATATTTGTGACTTTTTTTTAACTTTGGCCCTTCATCAGAAGATTCCAAACAGAAGCTTTTGCCATTCATCTCCATGATGTGCCCTATTCCCATACTAAGTATCTTTTTTCCATTTAAAGAAAATGGACATTTGATTTCAAGCAAACCTTCACCATCCTGTTCTATGATTCTGCCATCACTTGAGGCTCCTAGAAATGAATGTGATGTACACAATGTGAGTCCAGTAGGATAGATCTCAACATTGAAAAGGGCCCGTTTTATCTCTCCATACTGGACTCTGGCACACCCCTCATGGTCCTGTCCCCACTTTACTGCTTCTGGTAAATTTGCATACCTTAAAAATATCAAATAAACAGAATATCAATTAACAGTAGTACATTTGTACTAACAAAGTGACTCCTGTGTTTAATCTTTCATTTACATTGTTATGACACCAGAAGAGAAAAAAGGAATGTATGTGTATGTGTTTTTTTATTGGAAGGAAAGATTGTATGTTTAGTTAGCAAAAAATATATGGTTCCAAGCAAATACTGCTTGAAATTAATTTTAATACACTTGTAATAGACTTTTTTTTTAAGTAAAGACAGACACAATGACAAATAATATGTTTCTAAAGCCTGGTACTGTTTCAGGACAAAACTTATTAATACTTAAATGCTGCTTAAAGAAATGTGTATTATACATGGAATACCTTAAAGGTAGTAAGAAAATTGAATTTACTTGTCAAGGTTTGAACCTTCCACAATCTGCTTAATTAATGATGCAGGATTGGGCCCAGCATGCAGAACATCTCCAAAAATGGAACTTGTGATCCTTCTTCTGTGTAGAGCTTTCCACATTGGACATGAACTCTGGCTCTGTGTTTTTTCCTCAATGTATCTTGAAAGATCAAGATTAATTGTTGGAGGCGGGCCTTTAGTAATAAAACAACAAAGCATAATTTTTCAATAACATATCCTGAGTAATTAGGGAATGTGTAATAATTATCACTTCACCTTATCCCTTATCCATATCTTGAATCAACCAAATACCTCTATATCAACATTTTTAATCTAAAACTGTACTACATATATGGTATTATTTTAATTCAACATCAAAATTATTATCTTTCAATGTGTTGAACCAGAAGTGATACAGATAAGGCCATGAATGAAATGGATAAGACTTATGTCAGGCAGACATTGACTGGTCAGTGGTATGGTCTAATCAAGAGCAAGCAGTATCACATATATATACAAAGTAACCCATATTACAGAAAAGTATGTACATGTAACTGCTTTTTATCTGTATGTACTTTTTATTCAAATATACTTGTAAAAGGTACCACATTGAAATATTTTCAGAAAAAGATAACCAGTGATTTGAAAATAGGTACATTTATGTCATGTATTACAACAGTTATTTTCGCAAATCTGACTTACAGTTGTTTTCATTAAAGACCATTTGCTCCATCTTTTTCTGAAGTGGATGTATTGATGTTTCCATCTCTTCTTCATGGCATACATCTGGCACATGGTCAGGAATGTTCCAAAAGTGTGCCATTCCTAAGAGCAAAAATAATTCCTCAATGTATATATACTATGTTTATATTAATAAAAAAAAAAATTAAAGTACAAAAAAATATTTGTACAGTTAATAAAAGTTTACAATAAAATAGAGAAACAGAATTTGCATTCAAAACACTATTAATGATGCCATTTTTTTATCCTGTTTTCTTTTTTTTACCAAATTGACAGTATTCCATTCAATTCATCTTTGCAGTGATTGAGTTTAATGCATTAAGTGGAACAAATACTTTTTTTTGTATATATACCTGTTTGGGGGAAAACCTTTAATTTCTTCAGCTCCTGCAGACTTTTGTGGAGGTCATGAGACCTGTCCTCAGAATGTCTTGGATCGAAATTACCCTGAGGTGGTGGCTGGATTGTATTTGTAAAGTTATTTGGAGTGACTCTTGGCTTAGCCAGCTGGAAATTTCGTAGAGGTTGCGCTCTAATCTGGTTCCTAGGGACTTTCCACATACAAAGGTTGGAGGTGCAGTTTTCTTCCAACGTTCCTTTTTTTGTTGTTTGTCCTTGCGCCAAAGCAAATAAAAGCCCACCAATGTGACTGCATGCCTGTGATAGTCTGTAATAATTTCATTTAAAATTTTTGGTTTGTTTCATTTAGTGAATACAGGATTCTACTTCAGTGTTCCTCTGTGAACACCATTTGTACTAATTTATGCAGTATAAATGTTATGTGACCAGATATTAAATTCAACTTGGACTAAAAATGAATTAGTTATTATTATTTCACTCACAGCTGTCTGTTTTGAGATATTTGCTAAGACTGAAATTTGAACTATTCTTCATATTGTTTGCATTGTTTTATCATGTTATTCAAATAATTGAATTTATTGTTATAATGTAACAACCCCACTCCCTAATAAATTCTTAAAGCATCAAAACAATAGTTTAAATTTAAGCCTTATTACCCTATTGTCCCTATAGTCAGTATAGAACAAGTACACTGAAACAAATTGGTATGGATATTGACTCAATGAGTATGCAGAGTAAATCTGGTTATATTTAGATACCATGTATGTAAACTTGAGAGAAAAAAATGTAACTACCCAATTGGACACTGGCAGTAGGCATATTCTAGTTTGTCCTTGTCAGGGGAGAGGGTTGCACACACATACATTTGATAGTGGTGTTTCTTCATAGAAGCCTGACATGTTGCCCTGACATACACAATGGATTCATCAACCTTTCAGGGGGAAAAGAACAAATATATAGTACAACCCTGTAACAATACAGTACCATTACATGCTACTAAATTTAGCAAGACGATGGAAATCAACGTTTTACCCATTTTGAAATAAGTTGAATGAACTGAGCTGATGAACCTGATCTTCACTTTTAGAAGAAAAAAAAATCTCTATAAATGTAATATATATATATACATATTGTATTTTTTTTTTTTCAACAACAAGTCTTTAGTACTTTCATCTCTTCTAGGAGATTCTTCAGACATATATATTTAGCATGTTATTCAGTAACGTTACAGTACCTGTGCTATGGAAACTCTTTGGACATCGCCAGCATCGTAGTGTTTAGTAGCTCTGTCTAAACCTCTGAAATTTTTTACAGAACTACCCGAGTCAGTCGGGCGCAAAATCATAAACTCATAAATGTCATTAAACTTAATAGTTGGTAGTTGTGTGAGGTCCGATCCGTATGTAACCTGGTTAAAAGGGGGTAGGTTTTCTTTTACATTCGGCGAAACCGCAAGTACGCCAGATGACTGACTCAACACTGGAGTCAGTGCAGATACTGGAGCCTGTGCATCCAGTAACTGTGAAACCAGCTCACTCTTCTTCTTCTTTTCTGTGGCGATGTTATTCTCGGAAGCCAATAATTTCAATGCATCAACGCCGAGCTTGTTTAAATTATCCCGGTTAGCCATACTATAAACACCGTATCTAATGTAAACAACATGGAATGCGGAAGCGGAAACCGAAATTACCCACTCAGTGGCGTTTGTGCGCATGTCTGCATAAATTAGTGAAAGGGTCTATATTCAAAATGACGCTCTGTTGTTGTCAAGCGTGACGTCATTAGAACCTTGCGTCAAAAATTACGCAACAAAAAAGACCTCAAAAAATGTAATAAAAAGAAAATTGATGGTTTTCCCATTAAACACGATTTATATAATTCACTCGTATACAAATAATATGTGACACCAACCAATAAAAAAGCGTTGTGGCAAAATGTGTCCTCGTAGCAGACTCGAGAGGTAATCACTTTGACAAGTATCATCAACCAAATATTAACACTTTATATTTTATTCAAAGAGGGGCTACGATTAAAGCTTTAACCCAAAAAGATGGTTGATATATTATCCAAAGGTACATTAATATTTTAAAAAGTTTTTTTTTTTTTAAATTCACGGCAGGTAAAATTGATATTGTATGTAAATGATGTACTGTCTCTTCCAATCTGAATAAATACAGCTGTTAATTATCATGTACCGCATGAACCGTAGCCGTAGGTATTTTTACCAACATCTGATTTTAATGAGGCTCTCTCTCTCTCTCTCTCTCTCTCTCTCTCTCTCTCTCTCTCTCTCTCTCTCTCTCTCAGAAACCAACGTTATTACCGAATCGTTTTACATTTAAACGTGCTGTTAAAAATGTACATTTGTGTGATTTGGGACAATTACTGAGTGACGATAGTGCGGGGTTATTCTGAACGACAAAATTAATGTCATTAGCACACATATTTGAAGAATAATAAAAGTATGCAGGATCCGTTTCCTCGTGGTTGTTGGACTATCAGTTAGTCATTTTCATTAAAAAAAATGGTGTCCAGCAGCTTTGCTGCATTTTCTTGTCGAGGTTGACATTGATTTAGATTACTTACGAAAGTTACACGGGAAGAAAAGCAGATTGGTACAAACCAGGTGAAAATGACCTTTGTTGACCTTCGTCATATGACTATAACATTTTCTGTCCATTTCCGAGTGTGTCCCCATCTTATTTTCCCGTGACTGTATAAGGTTTGTTTCTTTCAGCCAAGCACTCTATCAAAAGAATACCAAATAAGAAAAATCACTTTAAATCAAGATTTATTTAATTTACAAGATTCGGTTATACACCAATAACAGATACATGTGCTCACATTCTCCGACATACCACAGTGTAAAAGTCATACGCCTCTGATATCGATTGTCAGCTCCCATAGCATGTATCCGTATACGTATCGCTGTTATACCCTATATGGTACGGCTATATCTGGAAACAACATGCTCTCGCGTATTGCCACGTTGCCTTTATCATCTCACTGCTCCAGCGTCCTCGATCAGAGAACACCTAGAGCATGCTTTGTTAACCTAGCAAATCACTACAGGCGAGGTAAGTGAAATGTCATTTTCGTAACTATCATTGAGTCCGAAACTTTTTTCAGATAAATTACCATGGACAAAAATCATTTAGGCAGACAAAGTTTTTTTTACCATGGAAGCAATAACTACCGCCAGTTCAAATGTTTTAATTATTAGTTCTTTCAATTATGATTTATTTTTTTAAACCCGGCGTTCGTACTACATTGCTTTCATTAATAAGAACTAGCGCAATTATTTTTATTTTTAGTATATGCAGCACGCTTCGTCATGACAAAATCGAGTTTCTTTGTTGCTACTTGTACACATACAGAGACAAAATCGAGTTTCTTTGTTGCAACTTCTACACGTACAGACAAAATCGAGTTTCTTTGTTGCAACTTGTACACGTACACAGACAAAATCGAGTTTCTTTGTTGCTACTTGTACACGGACAGAGACAAAATCGAGTTTGTTTGTTGCTACTTGTACATGTACAGACAAAATCGAGTTTTTTTGTTGCTACTTGTACATGTACAGACAAAATCGAGTTTCTTTGTTGAAACTTGTACACGTACACAGACAAAATCAAGTTTCTTTGTTGCTACTTGTACACGTACAGAGACAAAATCGAGTTTCTTTGTTGAAACTTGTACATGTACAGAGACAAAATCGAGTTTCTTTGTTGAAACTTGTACACGTACACAGACAAAATCGAGTTTCTTTGTTGCAACTTGTACACGTACACAGACAAAATCGAGTTTCTTTGTTGCTACTTGTACACGTACAGAGACAAAATCGAGTTTCTCTGTTGCTACTTGTACACGTACACAGACAAAATCGAGTTTTTTTTGTTGCTTCTTGTACATGAACAGACAAAATCGAGTTTCTTTGTTGCTACTTGTACACGTACACGGACAAAATCGAGTTTCTTTCTTGCTACTTGTACACGTACACAGACAAAATCGAGTTTCTTTCTTGCTACTTGTACACGAACACAGACAAAATCGAGTTTCTTTGTTGCTACTTGTACATGTACAGGTCGGACTACGTCAATTCATGTCAATTTCATGTCTAATGACCCGAAAGAGCAAAGAAAGGGCAATTTCTGGTGAACAAATTTAACTGAATTGGACTGATATATAGTGGCTCATATATGACATTTCTTCTTTTTGCTTTGTCGCCCACGAAATAACTCCAAGCGAAAAAACGAAATAACGAAAAGACGAAAACCCGCCAAAGCCACATAGCGATATAACGCCAAAGCGCCAAAGATAAATAACGAAATAATGTCAAACCGAAATAAAAATAACGCCAAAGCGTAGAAATAAAATGACATCTTTCTCCCTCCTTTCGGCGTTATTTCGATGACCAGATGCTAGCTGAGCTAAAACCAACAGGCTATGGATTCCTCCACAATGCTAGACTATGAAAGGCCTAAGTGTGAAACATCTCTCTCCCAACCATGATGTTATACAAATGTACATACTTTGCTAGTGATAAACAATTCAGAAAATTTACATTTCTACTGAACTTGGACTCAATATACCTACTAAACATTTTTAATAAATCAGCTCAATCAGGAAAAATATTACCGAAGTGAACACCTCTGCTGAAATTGACATCTCTGTCATGACTGCTGACATTGCATTTGCCAAAGCTCTCACCAATAACCCAGGACGAGTTGCGCAACATTATCATAACCTCGCAATCGAAGTCCTGTGAGCTTGATCCACTGCCTATAGACCTATTAAAGCAAAGTCTTGAAGCACTGCTTCCTTTGATTACCGCAACCATGAACAAAGCATTGGTTGAGTCAAAGGTTCCATTATGTTTCAAGAAGGCACTTGTCAGACCATTGTTAAAAAAGCCTGGAATGGACAAGGAGGAGTTGAAAAACTACCGCCCAGTTTCAAATCTGCCTTTTCTGTCTAAGATCTTGGAGAAGGTTGTGTCGCGGCGTTTAGAGGTTCATCTCCATGCAAACAGTCTCCATGACAACATGCAATCGGCCTACCGCATAGGGCACTCTATTGAGACGGCCCTCCTACGTGTACATAGTGATATAGCCTCTGCATTGGATAACAAGTGCAGAGCGGTGCTTGTCATGCTGGACTTGTCAGCTGCATTTGACGTCATCGACCAAGGCATACTTTATAAACGTCTGGAATACTCTTATGGAGTGAGTGATACCGCACTATGTTGGATACAGTCATACCTGAGTGAACGACGACAGTGTGTTGCCATCGGATCTGCCACCTCACATGACAAAGTACTAGATCTCGGGGTTCCTCAAGTGTCGGTGTTAGGACCACGAAAATATTGTATGTACTCCAAACCGATTGGAGAGATTTGTCGTCGCCATAGCCTTCGCTATCATTGCTATGCCGATGACTCACAAATTTACATGGTCATAAAACAGGACAGTTGGAATACAGTCTCAGAAAGTCTGGAAGCTTGTCTGACAGATATTAGTATCTGGATGAACGCCAACATGCTTAAACTTAATCAGGAAAAGACGGAACTAATCGTCTTTTCCCCAAAGTGTCCGCAAACAATGGCTCTCCACCTCAAGGTTGGTGCCAGAACTATTGAGACTGTTCCATCTGTTAAAAACCTAGGGGTATACTTTGACAGTTCTCTGATCATGGAGAAACCAGTGAACGCTATTGCCATATCGTGTTACTACCAGATCAGGAACATCGGCTGTATTCGGCAGTTTCTAACTGCAGATGCTTGCACGATTTTGGTGCATTCACTTGTTACCTCTCGGTTGGATTGTGGTAAGGCCCTGCTCTGTGGTATATTTGACAAACTAACTAGTCGTCTGCAGAGGGTCCAGAACACTGCAGCACGGCTAGTTACTCGTACTCGAAAGAGAGAGCACATCACACCTACGCTTTATTCGTTGCACTGGTTACCTGTACGATACAGGTCGCAGTACAAAATTCTGGTATACACATACAAGGCACTGAATGGAACAGATCCTCAGTACCTACAGGAGCTTGTTACCCTGTTTCAGCCGTCAGGATCACTGCGGTCGGAGTCAGAATCTGTATTGTGTGTCCCAAAATCTCGTACTGTGACCTAAGGAAACAGATGCTTTGGGAGAGTTTCGGCTACGTTGTGGAATAGCTTACCATCTGTTATTAGGAAGTCAAATACCCTGGCCAAGTTCAAGAGGGACATAAAAAGTCACCTCTTCACGTCTGCATTTTAGAATCTTTGCAAAGACGTCATGTAAATACCACCCTTTTATTTGTTCAATTATGTGCACATTGCTTGTCAAATTTATAAAAGTGATTGCAAGCCTTTGTTGTTTGTTTTCACAATTATAACCATTATTATCATCCATATGTCGTAAAGCGCCTTAGAGTAATTTTACAAATTATATAGGGCGCTATATAAATGTTGTATATTATTATTTATTATTATCAGTCAACTTTTCAATTGGCGTATGAATACATTTAGCAGGTTATCAACCTGATTACTCTGTTTTTTCGCGGAGCTTTATTAAGTAGTTCTATTAATAGATTGTTTTCAATTTGT